AAGGTTACTTCCCTTGAGATGTGAAATTTGTTCAGCATATCATTATTATAGTATTATGATCCGTTAGTCCGGCGATCTGCTATTGCTAAGAGGCTACTTTCATAACGTCAACATAGAGTTTTATTCAAATGTACACTCAGAATTCAGAATGAATGCAACTGTGTCAAAACAGTTGTTATCTTTTAAACTTGGACTCAAGAGCTTAAATATTTTTCTAGAAAAACTTCCACAAAAGCTAATAAAAGTCTTGTGAAAAATTACACAGAACACTTTAGTGACAGGTTTATATTGATTTTCTGATGACCTAATTCTATCTAATGATATTTCTTTCTCTTTGTCTTGACCCCATTCTTCTCCTATTACTGCAACAGTGTCAAGAATAGTAAGAAATTGACAGATGGTTGTTGGAATCACATTATCGTGTGTAGAATATCAAATCGGCATTATCTGTTATATATATCATTGGCTTGTAACAGCTGTCTCGACCAAGGGTGTGATCCAGACCTTTTAAGCAGCCCCATCTCTCAATTTCGACGAATTTATTACACCGAATCCTTAAGATTACAGAGACGCATTATCACGATTTACTGTTGCTGGGTATTTTATTTTAATCATCAAAACTGTATTAGATCTTTGATGTCACCACATCACATAGAGGATTGAACCACCCTGTCAATCGATGTAAGCCATTAAGCTGTATGTAAATACCATGTAGGTATTATATATAAACAGTTCAGGTATATAACCAAAGTAAAATAGATAGTGTATAAGGATATTAGAGAGTATTAGTTAATATTGATGTTTGGTAGGCTTGCTTTGCCGTCCCATCTACCAATGTTATTTCAAAAGTTAGAAATACATTTCGAAGTGAATCAAATTGAACGAAAGTAGGATAGTGGAGTCATACGTATCACTTCGCCGAGAAATTACCTATCGTCACATGCACGGCCATTCTACTAACGCCCCAGTTTTAGATTCAACGTTTCTGAATTAAAGGCTATATTGTTCATGCAATCAGGGAATTGATATTATGCACTGTCTGCAGCAAGCGAGCTTTTGGTTGTCTGCTACGCCTGTATCGTATTAACCAAGCTCAACAACTTGGCCTCATCAACTTGTCAATCTAGCAGAAATCTGACAGAATCGGGGAGCAACTGGATTTCCAACGTCTGCTAACGTCTGGCTATTTTGGGGGGAGAATCTGACCAATCGACTAAGCGCGCCTGAGATTAAAGAATCACAATTGCCGGCAAATTCTCACTTTCTCCTAAAGATGCTATTAACCTCCAGTGGTTCCGAGCCTCCTCGGTCACATAGCCACCTCGATTTTCCATTAAGTTGAGATACATGCCTTTAAAATGAGAGAGGATTTACGGCAACTCAAACTTTCAATACAAATTGGCCTGAGTATGTACAATACGGTATCATAATAAGAGTAGAGTAGTAAAAACGGTTCAATAGTCAGTGTAATCATCAAGTTCTTAGCAACTATCACCATGTATAATAAACAAGGAAATATGTAGTTGGGTATATCGTTAAAATATGGAAATTTAAGGCATGGATATATTTTCTGACTTAAGGTAATGTAAATCCTATGTTATCATTAAAAATTTCTGTTTTCACAGAATCTTGAAATTCAAGGAGAAATAGACAGGCAATTGTTATGGAACTGACAATATTTTGTAAGCTTTCATAACATTGCTTTATTATTACTATAGTCTTTTATACACTATGCTATCTTCCATTGTTTTTCTTCTGTAACTCGTTCATACAACATTGAAGGTCGTGATTATGCTATTATGAAAACGTGTTTAGAAATATTAATTCATATCATTGTATGTCAACTCGGTGCTTTTTTATAGTATGTTCTTTGAGACGTTATGTTCATAATCCCAAACCACATGGTGATATTTGAAGGACACTGTAGAGTTTCGCATTTCGTATTCCCCGCTTGTATAAATCGTGTTGTCCGTGCATGTGGCAGGGTACGACAACATCTTATCGATGAGGTGTAAATGTAGTTTGATATCCAATTGATAAGCCTAACACAATATTTAACGATGACAAGCGAGGACATTGTTAGATTTAAATCTAAAATGTTTTTATTCCAAAATGTATTAATGGTCATTTTCGGGGTTTGATTGTTTGAAGACGAGTCGTCATTATATTTTTCAAATGCAGATAATTCTGGACACACCTGGATTTGAAGGCTGATTTTACTGATAAGCTTAGCTAAAAATAAAATCCTGTTTCTTAGACTAAGATACGATTGGTCAAACGGATGGTGAACCTGTCCCCTTTATGTCTTCCTTTTTCTTTCTGAAATTCGGGTGTATAGGCTGAGATGATATCAGAGCTTCCTCCCTGTCAGTGATGCAGTCCTAACAGTCTGTCATCGAAAATGCGTCTCGTCGTTCAAATGGCTCGAACAACAATAATCTCATGTGCAGCAGTTGGGCGCCTTTCAGATCATTCGACAGTTTAAACCATATATCTATTGTCCGTCTGCATGAGCACAACCAGAGTCAAAGGAAAAGAACGTATATTTCCATTATTAAATGTTTTGAATACAATTCTTTATGGTGGTCCATTCCAGTAAATTAAACATACTAGTAACAAAATATTGCACAGGAACTTTTGTAAAATAAAAAACTTAAAAATTTGAAGACAAAGAGAGTTTGATATCAAAGTGTATGGAGGTGGAATGTATTATTAGAAATTTAAGTATCTGGTTCTTGCCATATGTTCTGTCTGACAGACAGCCAGACTTACCAAGCTGTTTGAACTGTGATATTCTACTGTTTCTATTCTTATTATCTTACCTTTAAACTTGATTATTGTCCAAAAATAACCTCTTCAGATATTTAGTGAGTTGGAATCCATTTGAAGTTCTAATGGAAAATGCCTGCAAAGAATTTTCATGGAATATATATCATTGTATATACAAATGTTATTTGTAAATGATTAAATTTTGAATTTTAATAAACGTTGTTTGTTATATTTTTCTCAAATTTGGTTCTATCAAGAAATGAACAGATTGTCAGTGTTTCTTTGATTCTAGTATCAAGAACCTGTTGCTACTGTAATGGATTGTTGTGATAAGTTGTCCTGTGTTCTACAAAACTGATTCTTGGCAGAAATTACAAATTTTTATTATATAAGCTCACCAAAAAATGAACAGAATACATTCTGTGATGGTAGAGAAGTTGATTCAGGTTTAGAACAGGTGTGATCTCATCTGTATGTAGGAAGTAAGACAAACTATTATTATACATTAGTAAAGGTAGTATTTATTATTTAGGTACAATCTGAAAGACATTAAGAGGTTATTTTCCAAGATTTATTAAAATAGGTCATAAACGGCACTTCAAATTTATTTCTATCGTCAAGGATAGGTCCTAAATCGGACCTAGATAAAAATATAAACCTCATTTAGGGTGGATATCAGTTAGATCTTAGAATAAAAGTATATCATGATACAGACTAGAATATCTGACTATGTTATTTATTATCTATTAGCTGTATTTATATAAAAGTATATCATGATACAGACTAGAATATATAACTATGTTATTTATTATCTAGAGGTTTATATTGATGGTATCAGTGGCTGTATTTATATAAGAGCATGTCATGATACAGACTAGAATATCTAACTATGTTATTTATTATCTAGAGGTTTATATTGATGGTATCAGTGGCTGTATTTATATAAAAGCATATCATGATACAGACTAGAATATCTAACTATGTTATTTAATATCTAGAGGTTTATATTGATGGTATCAGTGGCTGTATTTATATAAAAGTATATCATGATACAGACTAGAATATCTGACTATGTTATTTAATATCTAGAGTTTTATATTGATGGTATCAGTGGCTGTATTTATATAAAAGTATATCATGATACAGACTAGAATATCTAACTATGTTATTTATTATCTAGAGGTTTATATTGATGGTATCAGTGGCTGTATTTATATAAAAGTATATCATGATACAGACTAGAATATCTGACTATGTTATTTAATATCTAGAGGTTTATATTGATGGTATCAGTGGCTGTATTTATATAAAAGCATATCATGATACAGACTAGAATATCTGACTATGTTATTTAATATCTAGAGGTTTATATTGATGGTATCAGTGGCTGTATTTATATAAAAGTATATCATGATACAGACTAGAATATCTAACTATGTTATTTATTATCTAGAGGTTTATATTGATGGTATCAGTGGCTGTATTTATATAAAAGTATATCATGATACAGACTAGAATATCTGACTATGTTATTTAATATCTAGAGGTTTATATTGATGGTACCAGTGGCTGTATTTATATAAAAGTATATCATGATACAGACTAGAATATCTAACTATGTTATTTATTATCTAGAGGTTTATATTGATGGTATCAGTGGCTGTATTTATATAAAAGTATATCATGATACAGACTAGAATATCTAACTATGTTATTTATTATCTAGAGGTTTATATTGATGGTATCAGTGGCTGTATTTATATAAAAGTATATCATGATACAGACTAGAATTTCTTGGGCGGATCATTAACTTTTTACCATTGCAAATTGAATGATTGTACTCTTGTGAAAGTGATATAAGAATGGAATTCCCATATAAAAAAACACGGACCTCTGTGAAAACTTGTGATAGACATTTACTATAGTCTAAAAATATTCGAAGGGGGACTAACCTGGAACAATATTTACTATACTTCCTTGTGTGAAGTCATTCAGCTCTTTCACGCAGTTTTTATAGAGGTTCTCCCAGTTCAAATTTTATATCTTGAAAAGCTCATTACATTCAATAAGTAAAAGGTTTCACAGAGTATAAAGGGGAATAAAATAACTTTCGTCAATGAAGAAAATTCATGAAATGGTTCTAAAGGTATTTTATATACCGGTATTATGTTTATTATAAATGGTATAAACAGGTTAGCCTTCATAAATATTACATATAAGAATAGATCATGCATAAAGAATATTATAATTCTTAGGACATTAACGTGACGTTGTTATAAGCAGATTGTACAGTGAACCGGATGGGATCGGATAGTTTGTAACTTGGTTTAATGTGTGTTGGTTACCTCTGTTTGATTAAATATGTAATTGTAAATTTCGTTTGCCATTGCTATAAGTATGTAAATAATGTTGCCTTTCCTCTCTTCCATTCATATGAGCTGTTGTGTTACTTTCCAAGGGTATAAGGAACATATTTTTGTAGATTGGAGAGTGTAACAACAACTAAAAAAATTCCACAATCTGGAAATAAGACAGTGTAAGAAATCTTTTAAAACTATGTGGAATTATTTTCAGGGCTACGTAAGATGATGTAGAAATTGTCTAAAGGATATAAGAAATGGGGGTTAATGTCTCAAAAGAACAGAACCGGCCACCATCCAAGAGTTCACCATCACCTGCCTCTTCTCTCTCCAACCAGCCTGACGACAATAACCAAAACCAAAATGACACAAACAACATTAAAAAGGTATGGTGTTTCTCATTCTTTCAGAATTTGTTCGTTCTGTGAATCATTTCCATAAAATGCCGACCCTGTCGAAGCTATCTTTTCATAATATCAAATCTGTTTCCAGCATGTTCATAAGTGCATGGAATCTCATACATGTTACAAATATGTACAGCCCACGTATACGACGAGCTCTGGTCATTATCAATATGTACAGCCCATGTAAAATTGGTGTAAATTTGATATTTAAATCATGTCAAATTTGAGTACTATGAAAATAGTCTGAGGGTATTGTATATTTTCTTCAATCAATGGATCAGGTATTTAATGATCTCTCGGTAATGCATGATTGGGTACGTACAAGGAGAGATTCCTTGTAGAGAACCTTATATCACGAATGTTGGTTTAAAAAACTAAGATGTATTTAACATTGATAAAAGGTAATATCATAAAAATAATGATCACACCTTATTATATATTAGATAGAAATAACAAAACAAACCCATTTGATACCTGAATAGAGCCCCCAAGTGTTATTATATAAAGCATTCACTGTAAACACTATAAAATATTGATCTATATGATATTTAGATTAGTGATTTTAGATTCACGACTTGATACGATGCTATACTAAACGTTTTTTTCTCTTCTAAAATAAATGAAATCCACTCAATATATTTTCAAGAAGAAAAATCCACAGGGATATGAGACATGTGAGCTTCTATGCCATGCATTTTAGAGTATGAACGTATGTATGCATCTGACTGCAGTTTGCAATCACGTGTTAGGCGACATCCGTCGGTTTGACGACTATTAAAGTTGCTTTATCAAAATCCGTTTTCAAATATGACAAACAAAATCGACTTGTTCATCAAGTGAAGTTGAATGTTGAATATTTTTGTGATTTCAGTATATTTCACGATTATTGTATAATTTCTCCTTTAATGTTTACGATCAATATTCACTAAATAAAAAATGATTTATCGATTATCAACTCATTAATGATATTAAAATGATATTGATATAAATTTCATAATATTATTTGTATAAACACTTAGTAATTAACAAAATATTGACAAATTTAATTATACTAATGTTTATAATGTTTATTTTAATTTGAAACAGATGACTGCCTTGTTTATTTGAACTTTTTAATAAAATACATGTACACAAACGTAGAGCACCAATTGACAAGTACCAATTAGAGAAAATTTAATCAATTTCGAAAACGGGCTATATCTTTGGTTAGTTACATTGATGTACTGTTACGAAGGATTCAATATTTGTTAGATATAGATGGATTTTCAAAAAATAAAAAAACAATTCTTAATCCTTTTCTTTTCTATAAGCCAATTATCGATCAATTCAATATTTCTTCTAATGTGCATAATTAATGAGCTGTGTCCTAGATACGAGATGGGTTTCATAATACTGTCATTTCCCTGGGGAATTATTGGTGTAGAGAGAAAAGTAATTAAATCATTTCATACCATTCAGTTTCTTACTAAAAATTGTTCTTTTAATTATGAAACTGAATGGAGTTCAGTTACTATGAAAAAGTAATAATATTTAACATTGTTTATGTAGAAATATCGGTAACATTTAATAGCCTTTGTGATTTTTGTGTGTAAGGCAGAAGAAAAGGCGAGGTTTTATGTGGATTTTATCTACAATAATGCTACTAATTTTAATACGACTGTGTAAATTTTAGTGTAGTTTTATTGTTTATCATTTCAGCAAGCTAATGGATCTGCATCCAAAGATCCAAAACAATACAGTAAAGCCCCTCCTCCACCTAGACCACCTGGTAAACTGAAAGATGAAATATTTAAAGTCGAAGATTATAAAGAGGTCGATGAACATGCTCTCAGTGTAAGTATACGGATTATTATTATTTTTTGTATTACTGCCTTTCACACAACTGGGTTCTTTGCCTTTTTTCTCAATTTCTCTTTTTTTCTATAACATGTTTTATATCTTAATTTGAACCATTCCAGGTCCGACCAAGGCTTCTGAAAGGAACTTTTTTAGAGCTGGTACAATTCCTGACCGATAAACCAGAATGGGATGATTTGTCTAAAGTCCGATGTTTGTTTATGTGGATGACTTCAGTGGATGTATACAGTTTTGATATTGATGAAGCACCTTCGCAATCACCTTTGGAATATTTCCGAAAAATCCAGGCCAACACGGGAAATCATGCTCATTTATTTTCTGGACTATGTCAGTAAGTATAACAATTATTAAAATATCTGATGCAAAACAGTTATAAGTCTTCTTCTGTATGTCATATTTTCAAAGAATCCATGCCAAGAATATCACTCTGCGATGCAATTTTCATGAAAAGAACCTGTCGTATTCCATTCAATACTTATTTTGTTCTTTCAGAATGGCAGGGATCCCATGTACCATAATCAGTGGCATGAACAAAAGTGCTGCATATGAAGTTGGAAAACCTGCTAATAGGAAAACAATGGGAGCTCAGTGGAATGCGGTGTACTGTGCAGGTGATTGGAGATTTGTGGACGCCTTTTGGGCAAGTGCTTGTGTCGTTGGAAGGAAGACAGGAGAGTGGTCTCTTGTCGATTCTGACGGGAATCCAATGGATGAAGAGGAAGAAGAAGACGAAGGAGAGACTCAACATCGAATTAACGAATTTTATTTTCTCACCGATCCAGATAAATTAATTTGGACTCATTTTCCCGACGAGAAAAAGTGGCAGCTTCTTCCTAAACCCGTGTCTCAAAAAGATTTTGAAGACCATTGTTACATCAGGGAAAGGTTTTATATAATGGGAATGAACTTTAAAGAAGAAGCTTTACGGAAATGTTTATTGAAGACACAACATGGTGAACGGGACGTAAAGTTTACGATTCCCGCTGAAAACAGTTGTAACTATAGATTTAAATATATGTTGTATCAATCACGGACCTGTAAGGGTTCCGAAGACAATGTGAAAGTGTTTCTCGATAGATTTGTATTTTTTGAACATACTTCTGACTATGTGCACTTCGAACTCCGCTTTCCTATTAAGGGTGATTTCAAAATGGATATATACGGTCTGGATTTGAACGAATCCGACACCTTTGATTTGTGTTGTACGTATATAATTCACTGTCCTGAAGCTAAAAAGAACTGTATGCCGTTCCCCGACTGTCCGCCTTTAGGGTGGGGTCCTATTGGTGATACCAAGAACGTTGGATTGAAGCCAAAGACCCACAACAAGGGAATAGTTGAATCAAAAGACGGAAAAGTCGAAATTCGATTTAAAACCGAGAAAGAAATTCAGCTTCACCAAACCTTGAAACATTCAGTGATAGATGACGCTACTCTCAGTAACTATTCTGTTTCACGACAAGAAAACGGCGAGGCTGTTGTAAACCTCCGACTCCCTCAGAAAGGCGAATATGCTCTGAAACTGTTTGCCCAAGATAATGATAATGAAGGAGAAGCACCCAATGTTTGTAATTATTTGATCCGAGTGGACGGTACTGATCCTCAAAGTCAGCCATTCCCTAATATGACGAAAGGCAACATGGGTAAGAGTCACTTAGCCGATAAATTAGGCGTCAAAGCTTTAACTCACCCAAGCGGAATGATTGATGCTGAAACTGGAAAGCTGGCCATCAAATTTTCTGCTAAAAAGAATCTTGAACTCGTTTGTGAGTTGCATTGCCATGATGCTGGTGCAACAAAGCAGTGTTCAGCGATGACCCGAGATGAAAAAGGAGAATGGATTTTCGATTTGGATCTGCCTCAATCAGGGGAATACTCACTAAATGTGTTTGCCCGAGAAAAGAAGGATGCAAGCAGAATTTATGACGTCCATACATATCTTATCAAATCTGCTGGTTATGGTGAACAATTCAAAGGTAAAGCAGACGACAATTCTGAAGATGGTGATCAAGCAGAAACCATAGCAACAGAGACTGTGGATACATCTGATAAAGTAGTCATGATTCCAGTACCTCCAGGTAAGTTTAGTGAAATGTTAATAAGTGACAAAATATCAATCTTTAAACTTCAGATCGTCAGATTTAACCATTGAGATATGGGCTATATACAGTGTATTCTGTGTAATCCTAAACCCAATGGGTCCGTAAAATATTGGGGATATGAAGAGTGTCATGGTACCTACAGTTCTCGATCAAATGTTAATCCTCTTCTTTGTGGATGATGATTATATCACCCTTCATTTGCTTCTTTTAGATTGTGAGAAAGCCGTTGCTGCTGTTCATAGAAAGAATGCCAACGATCCACCGGGCACCGATCAAATTAAGTTCATTAAACAAGATGACTCATCTATGGTGAAGGTTGATCTTCCGGATTATGGGGAGTATGTATTGAATTTATATAATGTAGAGAAAGGCGGCAATGTGAAAAACGTCGCTAAATACCAGATTAACAGGAAACCGGCAGGAGAGTTGTATGATGACAATATTAATTATATCATGGATAATGTAATGGGTGATGGATCACAGGTGACCAGCGCCGATTCTACACCATCTCCTGAACTCGATAAGATTGATCCCAAGAAATCTGAAGGTATTGCATGCATTTCTTATCTTTTGTTGAATTACATGTATTGTTTAATCATATTGTGAATATAGAATCTTTAACTAATCTCTCCAATATCGTTAACTTGATAGTGCAGCAACTAATTGTGCATGAGTATCGGATTGTTTCTTGAGGCTGCTAGATCCTTAACCAGTGCTTGACTGAATGAAATTCAACGATTTTTCCGAAGATTCATGTATAATCCTTGCGTCTATATCAATTACCTGTATCGCCTAACTGCGAGAATATACAATCTAAGCTATATGTTGTCATTGATATTTTTAAATAGAACAAATTTGGCGGATGGGAGCCGTTGTCTTGGCATTTTCAGAGGTGTCGAAAAATGGGTAGAAATCCCATCTAATTTCATTTCATTTACTAACAACAGCCTATTTCCGGAGGAGGCCTGTCGACGACTATGGTCCACAATTCAGGAGAAGTATGAAAGCATGACTTGGGACAGTTTGCATGATGTTATCTAGAATTTTTTCATTAAATTGCACGATCATAGAAACCTCCCTTATTGCACCCCAAAGGAAAATCAAATCCTAAGATCATTTAATTTAGAAGTTATGGCATGAGAATGTGTTTATTTCTAATCCATCTATTGCACCGGAATGATGTCCTGTCTCTCTTAGCATGCAGAAACAACTTTCATTTCATATCTTCTACTTCATGAATGCCTGACATTGAAATCATAATGTATAAATTCCTCGTTCATATGCACCATTATCATTAGTTAATCTTCGTGAAAAGAATGGTAACATTTTTTTATGTCATCTGTCATAGAATGATTTTATTTTGCTGGTGAATTGAATTGCATTTCAACTCGTTATGATAAGATATATGGTCAATAGAGATAATGTAGTCAGTTATGACATTTAATTTACTAAGAAGTGTTCTTATGTTTATAGCCAACATGCTTAATATTAAAATCCATTTCAAATAACCTTTAGAAAATATGAGATTGTGATTTACATCTTACTTCATCAAAACTAATGCTTTGGTAACAAACAAAATGCGACTCTGTCTACAATAGTTTTGCAATCAATTCCACACAGACATCATGTAATAAAACAGTTATGGCAATCCATCCATACTTCATGGTCGAATCAGAAAAGCCACTTAATATAATATTATTGTTTTTATAGAGGAAAGACGCAAAGCAGCAAGAAAACAAGTTCAGAAAGCTATTGATTTGAAAGACGTACGACAATTACAAGTAGCCTTAGCCCGATATGATGCATTACAAACCAACAAAGATGACGAAATGTTGAAAAAGGCACAGAAAGTACTTCAAGTTTTGAAAGCTAAGTCAGGTAACCTCCAATACAACTATTAAACGGACATAAAATGGATGATCTTTAAAGGCATGAGAACCATAAACAGAAATAACGATTATTTAGAAAATGTTCCAATATCATGAACAGGTTTTAATTTATTCGTCTTTCGTCTTTCAGAATTAACGGAAGCTTGTCAAAAGAGAAAGCTTCCAGCACTAGAAGAAGCTCTGAGGAATGCCAAAGCCGCCAATTTTGATAGAAGTTTAGACCTTCCAATCGCCATAGCAACCAGATTAAGAGATCGTATAGCTAAAATGGAGAAATTACGTCATGAAGTTTTATCTATGGAACAGAAAACTATATCGGAGATAAAATCTTACTCAAAGCCACCTGACGGCATCCATCCAACTTTAACCGCTACCTTCTTATTACTGGGAGTCCAAATGAAAGAACTGAAGGTGAGTTTGGTTGGTTGGTTGGTAGATGACAAGTTAATATTCGCTTCCAGTGGATGATGATATCACAAATTGGTAGTTTGTCACGAGTTTAACTTCAATAGCCACCTTTCCAGTATCAAGGAATGCAGCGATTTGATTGGATTGTGCGCTATCGAATACAGCCAATTAAAGCCCTCTACATAAAGACTTTAACCAGTCTGGCTTATTGTTTACAGATTTTCCGTCGAGGGGCTCTGATTGACTGTATTTGCTAGCGTGCAATCAAATCATTTTTATAAACTTGTGTGATATAAGAAAGGTTGATATTTCGGTCAAGGTTTTAGACACTGAAAATAAGAATAACTGATAAGTTTGGTCGATCCAACCACAGTCAATTAATGGTTAAGTTAATCGGGCATAAATGTCATGTTTTTAATATACTGTGATATTTTTAATTTCAGGAATGGAAATCGGTCATTGTATTAATGGGGAAAACTGGCAAAGATTCTTTCATGAGACAAATTTCATACTTTGACCCAAAGTCAGTTAGTCCAAAAACAGCAGCTCGCGCAAAAAAAGTTCTTAACAAATTCACCAGAGATCAGGTTAGACAAAGCAGTGCGGGCGCAGCAACTTTTTATATATGGGTAAGCCGTATTACTATTCACGGGTGGGAATTAAAAATAAACAGAACGTCGGACAAATCTTCTAAGATGAAGATAACTGCCCCATAAAACTGTTATATAGGCTACTGTGTGCATTTAAGGCGATACACAGCACGCAAATCGAATCGACAGTATTTCATTGCACTACTCCCCCCATTAACGCGATACGAAACAGAATGATAAAACTTTCCTGTTCTTTTCAGGTTACTGGTATGATAGAGGAAATTGAATCTCATGGTGGAACTGAGGCTCAAAGTGATTCCAACAGACTACGACTATAAAATGGTGGTTGAATGGCAACACATTCAGCAATAGACCTACCTTAATAGCATCTGTCAAATATCTACGTGTTATATATACATAGTAATTGAGAATTGAGAATACATTTATATTATGAATAAATACATTAGAAATTGCAAAAAATAAACTATAAAATTATAAGCTCATGGTTGAACCCGGTCTCAAATACGATGTTGTGGAATGGTGAACATATCGTGCTTCACAAACCGCATCTGCTAATACATGACCCGGAGTAGTGAGAAATAATTAAGTATCTTTAGACTGTTTTTTCTGTTAAAATGATTTTATCAATCTGTTACAGTAGATAATTGTTGTTTTATTTTGTATATGTATATAGACAAAAATATTATTAGTCTTATATAAACTGTTTGTGACTTATGACCATTTTCTACAGAGTTTTTGGAGAACTATATTTAATTTGTGTGATATGGCATTTCCAGTATGGCCGATTCGTCATTAGTTCATATATCAGGGCTATTTTTAAACTGCATTGTCAGATTTACCTTCTAACTTCGATGTCCTTTCAAGTTATTATCTGGCGTCTTGAATTCTGAGGGATCGTTCACACTATAATGTGAGCAGGGCGGCGCGGAGAAGATCGCTTAGAAGCGACGTTAGTGTCTAGTTACTTTTCACTGTAGGCTACACGCGCGGCCTGTATCGTGAACGAACCTTAAGACCTCAGAAGTGCCACTGAACAATCACTTTTATGGACCATTCTAAGAATGTCAAAATATCAAACATGTTAATAAGTTTCACCCAAATCGGTCGTAACCACCCGATCCTGTAAAATTAGCATCGTAACCATTCAAATGTTCAATTTAAACGCATTTAGTTCTTCTGTGAATAGATTCATATGCCATTATGGACCCAATAATAAGATCTATGTTAAAATGAATTAGTCAACAAATGCACTTTTAACCACGAAAATCATATGAAATACTACATTTAGAACAACTCTCCTCTCTGCAGCAATAAATTCTCGGTCTGTTGCACATAGGGGCTCGGTTTTTTGCTTTATCCGAACAAGACGCTTTTTGCCATGTTAACCCTTGTTGGGGAAAACCAGGTTAGATAAACCACAGATATCACGAACTGTGCCGGGTTTGAACCATGTGATATTCAGGCTGGCAAGCAAGGGTATATAACTCACCGAGCCATTCCTGCTCTCGTTTTATAGCTGCAGGCATGGGTTAGCACATCATACGCCGTACATCAATCATCGTTGCGACAAACAGAAACGAATCGACTGCTAGCAAATTGTAATCTTTTGTGAGAATTTGGTCAATCGTTCGATTTGGTCGACCAGAGCTCATCATCAACTGTAAATCGTACTTGCAGCAGGTTCTACTTTCTAGCAAAATATACATTTCTAACTTGAGCTGTCGGAAGGAGATGCTCTTGTAGGAGATAAAGTCATAGGCAACTTGAGTTACCGAGAAGTCTTTTGTGTGCATGATGTCGACCAATAACCTTTTAAACGTATTAAACACAATATTCATAACTGCAAACTTTATTTGTTTATAATAATATTGTATGATTGAAACAAACAGTGTAGTGGGTCAAAAGAATTAAATAACAATCAAACTTGGGTATCAATTTAACAAAACTGGCCATTGATAAATCGTATTTCTGTTTTTACCATCTTTAACTCTAGAAGACATTATTCAAATTGTTAAAAAAAATCATGACATTATGGATTAAATATCGACTTTTGTGAATGGATAACTTTTGGTTTTAGCTACAGGTACGTTATCGTCCAAACAGCATTTAGTTTCAGTACATATTAATACCTACAGCTCATTGATTCACAATGTGCTCTAAATACAGTCGACATTATTGCTCAATCCGATTTCAAAATCATAAATTTTGTGAACCATCAAGAATAGTTTTTCAGATGGGCTGCCACACCAAGCTGTAAGTAAAACCAATAATAAGGAACTGGTTTGTGTGAGGATTTATTGAACGAATGAACTGGTCTTGTCTATTCAATGCTATTTAAATCTGAGGGTATTTCCATTACAAAGTGGGAATCTAAGGCGAACAGTTGACTATCTTATGATTTCATATCATTGTTTATGAGTAAAAAAAGAATCCATCTAAATAAATAAAGGTTTGAAAACATGCATAGGAATGTGATGGTCAAATATTGGTTTCACTCTTATTTACAAATGCAATACTGTGAAAGATGTCTGAATGCCGGAGGAAGAGAACTCGAGCTTTTGACGGTACCGTTTTCACCTGATGATAAGGTGACCAAAGAGGGTCACATTTCGACACCAATTAACAAACAATCTTTTCCTGTCAAAAGTCAACCAGAATTAGTTAATTTCATTTCCATTGGGTTAACACACCTCTATTTGAATTGAAATATTCACCAGTATATATAAAATATACTGGTAATATACTGGTAATATACTGTAGCATGACTGTCTAATATAACTCTTATCTCCTCCCCTCTGGTAATTACTATTCAATATGGATGATTATATATAAATATATACAATATAATAAAATAAAAATGATGGCTGCATTAAAAGGTTTTCTTTCATAGTGTCACTCAATTCAATCTCAAGCCATTTTTAAAGGGTCCATTCTTACTGATATCAAAAAAGCGAATCCACTGCTTTGAACAGGACCTTTTCTGAAAATCGAGACTGTGAAAGAGCAGCTAGAAAACTGGGCAAGATCATTTTAAACTAGTTGTTTTTACATGATAAATAAGAATAACAGAAACAGGGAGTTTACATGGCTAGTAAGAATGCTGGATGAGTATTTTGTAAGGTATATTACAAACCATGAGGTGTATTTTACACAATGGAAAACACATGATCAATTCGATTAACTAGAATGCTGCATACAAGGTTAATTTTAGGTATAGATAGAAATTGTTCATTTATATGAAAATAACTTTAAAGATTAAATATATAATTTCTGACTCTTAATGGATTTCATCTAGATAATTTTTTGTCAATTTGGTGCAAGATATTTGAAGCAATGAAGGGGAAAAAGGGATAAACTTTTCCTATCACAGATAAATCAAATAAATAAATGACTAATTAACTAATTACAACAAAATAAATTAAAACAAAATTATGACTAATAACAAGAAGCTTAATTTTCACACAAAATATTGAAATTGGCACTAACAATAAATTTCAGACACAAACTAATAAGCGAATTTATTGTAATCTGATTAAAATACAGCACATTTTTGTATTTTCTTTTTCTCTTATTTGAATCAGAAACAGCTATCATTTTGTCATGTTGTGCTTTGCTGTGCTGCTATATATGTATTTTAATCATACTGATTTCAATAATAGAAACAATATTTATGCCACCTTTATTCAAGCAAATTCTCAACAACTTAAAGACCACAAAATAAAAAGTGCCAAGAGAGTATGCATGCTCAGAAAGTAATAATATTCAACAAAACACAGAATGATTCTATAAAAGTCTATAAAATAACTAAGTTCTATACAAAAACAACATCATCACAGGGATAATAATACTTGGAAAATAAACAAAACACCCTCTACATTGCATAATAATCAGTAAATAGTTTCTATTATTCAATTATAAATGATTTGTCCTATTTCTTCAATTTTTTATTCTAACAATTTATTTTTAGGTTGGAGATCAATCTCATTTTCATATTTTATTAAGAAAATAATTTTTTATGTTAGTAATCACATTGAAATATTAGATTCAAGGCATTTTTCCTTTCAATAAGATTTTACCTTTCTCAGGAAATTTCTAGATTTTACACCAATGTCTCAATGAATAAATATTTCTGTTTTTTACGGAATTCATCAACTACACAAATACCACAAGATACCAATGGTTACGTGTATCCTATTTACAGAGTGATATCATTAGAATTTGACTGTGACTGTGGTTATACACTTGTACTGGAAAATCACAATTGGTTTCTGTTTTGGACCCAATCAATTGTTGCTAAGTTTGTTCCCTAAACTTTCTTTAATCAAAGTAATTTTCAATCTGTGATATTGATTTTATAAGGTGATCTAATTTTTTGCAGGAAAAATGCCTTGATATGAAGTGAATTAACTAAGACTATAAAATAACTGAGAATTGTAACACTAAATTTGGCAACTTCAAATTATTAATATCAACATATTTTTGTACATTTCACCAAACTTGGGAAATATCAATATTTTTTTCTGTATTTTTTTATTTTCACCTCCAACTCTTTGATATGTCTGTTAATTGTGGAGTTAACAAATTGAAACTTTATTCTGAAAGTTTTCAAAGTCACACTTTTCACACCATGCACCTTATCACAACTTGTGATCTGTAAACTTGAAACCACAACTTGTGATCTGTAAACTTGGAACGACAACTTGTGGTCTGTAAACTTGATACGACAACTTGTGGCTGTAAACTTGAAACCACAACTTGTGATCTGCAAACTTGAAACCAGTGTTTATTCCATCCACCCAAGAGTTAAACTTAAAATTATTGCTTTCAATACCATGACACTATAAGTTTTTTTGTTCCATTCATCCCAAAAACGTTTCAACACACAATTCCATAGTAAAACACCAAATTTCACTTTCCTAAGGCAAGATCTGACCAATTAGATTTTGTTTTTAAGTAAATTGGTTTCAATTGTAACATGAAATCTGGCTTTACCACAACTGTATTTAAAACTTAATATGTCCATATGATACCAAACTGGCCAAAACAATGTACACAAACCATAAGGAAGTAAGGAACAGTCCAGTAAAATATTTAAAGCATTTGCTTTGTCCACCTAACTCTCCTCCTACAAGCTGGAAATAGAAAAGTCATCATTAGCAAATTCTAAGAATTTCTTCTCAATGTTGTTAAAAGCAATTTAGGTATTCTTAGAAACATTTTATATTATAAGAAATTCAAAACAAATTCAACAAATTTGTCTTCATGTTGCAAGCCAATATCAAGAAACTTCTTACAAATATGGTGGCTTCAAAGCAAAGTTATTCCAATTTTAAAAAACTAATCAACAAAATATTTTCGCAATATGTCATTGGTAGAATTATGGTTTTAATTTTCATTCTGATTTTAAACTAAAACAGCTGTTACCTACCTTTCTTCGTAATAAGAGGAATAAGATACAAACAGTTCCACAGCAACTAAATATAATAACACTAACAGTTAAATTAGTTGATTTGACTACCATATCTTCACCTTTAATAAGATAATAGGTAGTACCTATCACCCAGGGTAGACCTAGACCCAGGAATACATTAACACTGTTACTACCTGGAATATAGAATACACCAATTACTTGTTGTTAGTATATCATATTATTACTTGTTGTTAATATATCACATATTAATTTCTTGTTAATAGTATATCTCATTACATCAATTACTTGTTATTAGTATATCATATTACATCAATTACTAGTTGTTAGTAATCACATGTCACCAATTACTTATTGTTAGTATATGATATTATATCGATTACTTGTTAGTATATCACATATTAATTCCTTTTTGTATGTATATCACATTATATCAATTACTAGTTGTTAGTATATCACAAATTATCAATTACTTGCTGTTAGTAAATAACATTACATCTATTACTTGTTATTAGTGTATTGCATTACATCAATTACCAGTTGTTAGTATATCACATTACATCCATTACTAGTTGTAAATAATCACATCACATCAATTACTAGTTGTAAGCTCATCACATTACATTGATTATTAGATTTCAGCATATCACATATCAATTGTTATTAGTATATCACATTACATCAATTACTTGTTATTAGTATATCACATTGCATCAATTACTTCTTGTAAGTATATCACATTACATTGATTATTAGTTGTTGGTTTATCACATTACATCAATTATTTATTTACAATTTATCATTTATACACTTCTGGTGTCATTCATATCACTTTTCAGACAGAAAATTTGAATCAGTTTAAATCTTACTGAGATGTATGTTAATAACCAAATAAAGTCCTACAAACCTGTAACATTTCCTATAGCTGCATCAGCATGAGTATCTTGTTTAGCTGCGGTCCTACTGGCGAATGTATCTGGTACACTAGTACCTAAAGCTATAATGGTAATACCTGCAACACTAGTCTCTAAACCTACCACACAACCAATTAGATGTCCTAACTATAAAATATAACATTATCATATACAATTACTACTGATTCAAATACTACAAATAATATACACCAGACATATTGTGATCATTTTTGCTGCCATTTCCACATTGGGGTTGATTTGGGTCTTGAATAGTCTTCAGAACTACTACAAATATAAATCCTTTCAAAAATACTTCAAACTACGAATTTCACTTTCTTTTTCTATATATGTCTTTTCTATATATGACAGAGTCTCAAGAAAAGATAATTCTGGACACAACTGGATTTGAAGGGGCTCAAATTTTGACAATGAGTTATGAACACTATTACTGATTAGCTCAGACTCTTATTTCTGAGACTAAGGAACGATTGGTCAAACCTGTCCCTTTCAGTCTCATGGCCTACAATAAACCATCTTACAAACACCTTTGATTCAATATAAAAAATTACAAGCAAAGAAAAAAGGTTTATAAGCTTACCTGTTCTACAAACGCAGTTAATAAACCAATAACAAATAATGATAAAACAAATGATGGCCAAGCTCCTAACATGTTCCTGAAATTTCAACAATTGAATTCAAAATAAAAAGTGTAAGAACTGCAACAAAAACATTCAGAACGAGTTCTTTCTACCACAACCGTAAATGACCAATTCCATTGCAGAATGTATCATAACCCAGTACAATATATATGCTGATAGAATTAAATAATAGAGAAAACTTACGTCGGAGGAATACAGGCACATAGTAATTTCCAGAACATTGTAAAGAAATGCATGAGGTAGTGAGACCATGTTGGTGGTAAATCATTTCCTTCATCATCTTGATCTCCACCTACTGTCATAGCACTGTAATAAATATCAAATATTATTGCTGGGCTATTACACTGGAGCTAGTTATTACACCAGAGCAGGGGATAACGATGCCTAGTCATGTTCACAGCTATTATGATATTAAACTTGTAGAATGATGACTGGACTTACTTTGCAAATTGTGATGCCCAGGTCACTTCTTTCTCGGCATCTTCATCTTCTAAGACCTCTACCAACCTTTCTATCAGTTCATCTACAAACATGAGATACAAGTGAACAAACATGAGATACAACTGAAAAACAGGAGATACAAGCAAAAACATGAGATACAAGTGAAAAACAGGAGATACAAGCCAAAAAAAAAAACTCGGGAGAGACAAGAGATACAAGTAAATAAAACCAGGAGATGCAAAGTGAAAAACAGGAGATGCAAGGTGAAAAACAGGACATATATAAGGGAAAAAGCAGGGGATATCAGGAAATAAACAGGAGATACAAGGAGAAAGCAGGATATACAAGCAAAAAGCAGAAAATACAAGAAAAAAAAACAGGAAATATAAATGAAAGAAACAGGAAATATAGTTTTAAAAAAAGGAGATACCACTGGAAAAAAAAACAGGAGATAGAAGTGAAAAAAAAGCATATGGTCACTAGTAGGGTTATCTATTGATTAACATCAGGAATCGAAAAATTAAGTACATCACCTACCTTTATTGATATGACATACAGTAGCACTACGCTCACCAATTTTGGCACCAAGACTTGGATTTCTTAAAGCAATAATAAAATTTTTGGCACCCTGGAAAAAATACACGCAAGTTTATTATAAAACCTTGCCCATTTCAATATTGTAAAATTCATAACATTTCTGGAGTTTAAATTGGTAAAAATTCACATTTATATAATCATCACAACGTTAGAAATCTACAAAGCAGCATAATTTGATGCTTAATAAGCACATAAATGCAATATGAAAATCTTCACATCTTTTTTTACGCTCAACTTCTGCAGAAAATTATCTATTTATTTTCATTGAAATAGAAAACTACACTTACTTGACAATCTTTATTTACAACAATAGAGAATGTTTTGGATGTTTCTGAATGTGTAAAGTTTATAGTACCACTAGTTGCTATATAATCAACATCAGGACCTAGTTTATCACCACCTTTAGCTGTGCCATCACTGAAATAACAAAATACACGTCCTTTAATGAACATTATAAAATATGATATATATTATTTTGTAACTTACACCTATTTGACAATGACAAATAATTCTGTGAGAATCGTGAAATCTTAAGCAGTTGATTTATCACAGTCCAGATGTATCAGGTGTTACTGATAATCTTTTGCCTGTCAGTCTTTGAAAACCAAGCTCAATCATTATTATAATCACCAATATAATAATATGATTGCATCAATAATGATGTAATCTATACCATAATCATATTTTTGCTACCATAATCACATTATTGCTTCAATAATGATGTAATCAATACCATAATTACAATATCATACCATAATTACGTTACTGCTACCCTAATCACATTATTGCTACCCTAATCACATTATTGCTACCCTAATCACATTATTGCTACCCTAATCACATTATTGCTACCATAATGATATAATCACTACTATAATTATCATTATTCTGTAAGAACATAGAACTTACATGGTTGAATACTCAATTGTAACTTTCCCATCATAGCCATGTAGCCTTTGAATTTTTACAGTTACTTTACCATTTTTCAAATCAGCTTGATAATGGGGCTCTTCAAATGAAAACTCTCCTGGTTCTAAAATGAAAATTGTGTTAGTAAATTTATTAAATTAGTCAAAAAGAACAATGGTCCGTATACCATGTGCTCTATCTCAATAAACAATTGCAACACATAAATTGCAACTGCAAAGATAAAATTACTAGATATCTACCGATAACTGTCAAAAATGTTGACAAATAAGTTCATCAGTTTCAAGAGTTTCAAGCTTGAATTAGTTCGAATTTTTCTGACAAGAACCTACCGTCATCATCTACAATGGTAACTCTTGATACACTAGGATCACCTAATCCCCCTCCACCTTTTGGATTCTTCAGTATCACATAGAAATCTACATCAGCTTCATATTGGTTATCATTTATAATGGGAATCAATAAGGTTCTTTTATATTCTGTATCTTTAAAGATCTAAATAATAAAGATTTGAACAACCATAAAATCTGATCGGTTCTTTCTTTCATAATTTTTCAAAAATCATTTTGTCATAAATACAAATTAATGGAGATACCTAGATTATAAGTGCCTAGTTTTCAGGACCAGCAATAATAAAAGGTATCAGTTAAGATTGGAATAATTTGGAATAAAAAAACAATAGTGAAAATTCAGTCTTCTTGTACTGCAAAGTCGGGGAACAGAGATAACTAGATTTTAAGTGCCTAGTAACTAAGTGCAATAGAATAATAGGTATTGGTTAAGATTTCCTGATAATTGTGTATCAAAAAGTGGAGAAAGCCAAATTATAACCAAATTTTGCTCGGTATTGGAAATGGCACTGATAAAATAGAATATTGCATCCCAATTATGCAAATATTAAATCTTTGAATAAGACAGAAAAACAACTTACCAATGTACCAGTGGTATATTTATAATCTTTACCAGGTTTAGCTGAACCTTCTCTTGTCTCAAAATCTACAGACACAACTCCTTTAATCATATTATCTTTATCATTCTCATTAGTATGTATATCTCCATTCTTTAATGTACCGGTACCACTTGTGTCATTCTGAAGACACAATAAAAGATAATTATTATTAGGAACACAAATGATGATAAAACTGGTTCAATCAGAAAATTCCTTGATATTGTGGTTTTATGAACAATTCATTACCAAATCAAATTGTTTAATTTATTCCAAAAAAATCAGCCAGCTTATTATAAGCCTGTTTATAAAGTTAAAAATTCATAGCTAAATAACCATTTAAACGTCATTGACAATGAAAAAATGAATCTGGGACTTACCAACATACTCATCTTGCCTCTGCCACTGTAAAAAAAATAAAATAAATACACTGGAATATACTTAAACATATTACTATATACCCTAATGTTTTTATTCAAAATGAATGTCAGTTTCCACCTTTTCTATAATTGCATTATCACTTGGTAGGCAAATGTATCAATGCTGACTTTTTGCAATGTACAAAGATAGGATAAATACGCAACTTACAGAATTTGCCTATGGAATAAAACATCAACTTCTAACATCCCAGCACTCTCTAATACAGCATAACGATCAGAGGCAAAGGTAAATTTACCAGTGAGATCTCCTACAATATTGCAAACATATATCAGTTCCATGTACCAATTTAAACAAACTGGTATTTTTCCAAGTCATTAATAAAAACACCTCTACTTTCATTTTCATAAATGAAAATAAAAATAAGGGAACCCATCTTTAATGTTTCCTTGAGGAGATTAACTTTAAATAATAATTAAACTCCATCAATATTGGCGGATATGAAATTTTTTTTGACCCTGTTCTGTTGTAATAAAGATATAAATACTATTATTATCAAATCATTGTCCAGCAAATCCAGCACTGGTGGGCTATAAATCTAGACTAACTCAAATTTCGTGATTAGTTAGTATAAACTTAATAAAATGGTGAGACAGAAATATTGTTAAATGAAACTTTAAAAATATCCATGTCAGAAGTAAACAGAAAAAAGACTTAAAGAGAAAGAAAAAATAGTTTTTGAAAAAAGGTATTAAATTAGATGAAAAGATTTTATCATTATAAGTGACGTAACAACCCTAATAATCAAAACTATTCCCTTCCCTAAAATCAGGTATCAGTACACCCTGAATCTCACCCTAAAAAATGAGATGATAATATATTTCTTAGAAACTGCTGTAATAATTATAGTCATCTGCAATATAACTTCTGAAAGAAAGATGTATTTATAGTGCTTCTATCATCAAAACCTAGAAGGTCAGCTCTACAGTCTAAATTTAAGTTCCGTTTTTTATTTTCGATACAGCCACTCCAGTTAGGGTCTAACGACAGTCATCTTGAATGTTTGTCAAATTAACCTTAAGACCTAACTCGACGACATAGTGTTTATCATGTTATGTCAAAAACTTTCAAGAGGGCTGTCGTAAGACCCTACCTTGAAGTGGCTCTATCAAAAAAAATGCTTTAAAAAAATGGAGTGAAAGTTTTGTCTATTTTTAATGACTGGTCAACTCTACATGCTGTAACTAAATTTATTACTGTGCTTAAAACTAGGTTTAATCTAAATTTTCAAAATCCAAAATTAATCGTGGCGATAATGAACTCATGATCTTTGGTTTCAGTCAAATCACAGCGCTGCTACTAGCGATACCACTTTTGGAAGTTGGAAACAAGCCCATCATCTGCAAAATTATAACAATAGCATTGCATTCCCTTCAAAAACCTGTCATGTCAATTTGTTATCAAAATAATTTTGCAATGAAAAACTGAGTGGAAAAAAAACATGAATGAGAAGGGTCACGTTTCAAAAAAATCGCCAACATTGAGTATAAGATTTTTTGTGAAGCGGGACCCCAATTTTAATTAGATGTTTTGAAAGAGAACTAATATATTAATCTGTAAACTGTGAGGTTAATGAATTATTCTATGGTGGATTACAACATACAGAAGTAGTCTGTGAATTATTAGACTTGTTAATAGTCTGCAGGAGGAAAAACCCTCACCTTTATCCAAAATAGATGATTGGAATTGATGTTGAATTTCTATTAGACAAAATACACATGATTATTATAATATTAATCTAGAGTTCTTTCCCTTTACTTAGTACAGCAACAAACACCCTATAATCTACTATCATTCAGAACAGAAAATAACCAAAAATAAGCTAAAATAAACCAAAGCAAACTGTTCTTAATTAAAAATAATTCAATTCTATGCATTTTCAGGCAAATAATAGATTTACGAAAAAAAATATTGAGGTCTGGGACAATATACACACCTTCTGGGGCTTTGCCTGTTTTTGCTGCTTCATTTAAAATTCGCATTTTAGTGACGACATCCACTAGGTGGGGTAGTTTAGTATGGCTGGCGTTATGAGTATGAGTAGCATTTCCTCCCATCAGAGCACTGACAGCAGCATGACGAAATCTGAAACAGCAAGTAACACATTTGAATATAATCTAAAACAATTTGGGCTATTACTTTACTAGAAAATTGACAATTGATTATAAAGAAGTACTTAAAAATGTGTCAAATTTGAATTTGCTGATTTTTTTTTTTTCTGTTTGTTTAACAGTTTGGTGTGCTACATATACCCTGAAAATAGTAGCCTACTTTGTAACCTAAAGTTAATGATATGTACAGTGTTATGTCAAAATAATCAATTAGATTGTTGATGCCGTCCCTGCATTCAGTTGTCTGCTTTTATAAAATAGTTTTTAAAAAAACATGATATCATTCCTTCTTAAGGATAGGACATGTGGAAAAGAAATTGCAACTCAGTAATATTTTTCCAACTGAATGCAGCAAAAGCGCTATCCATGCCAGTTGCAGCAAGACTCGTGAGATATTAAATTCAGTATGAATATTACATTGATGTCATGTAACATGCTTTAAAAATGTCACGAGAAAAATAGATAAACAATACCAGATGCAACATCACTAGGACTACAATACAACATGTCTAAAACTGATGTCAAATGCATGATCTTAAAATTACAATTTCTGTGTCAGTGGTATAACTCGGAACTTTCTCAGAATGCAGAGGTCATGATTTTGGAATTCAGATTTTTATCAGTCAAACAGTCGCAGACTCTCTTTGTGCAGAAATACTCATGTAACTTTGTACTTGAAGAATTTCATATCTGGTTTGAATTTCATGTTGTTTATATCAAGTACAGAAACTTTGGTCCAAAAAAAATGTGCTTTCCTCCAAGAGGCTATATTTAGAACCTGTCAGAGTCCATGATATTTTTTTAACCGATATTATTTAGAGAAGAGCTAAGTAAAAGAGGTAAAAAACAATAACATGTGGTATGGTACAAGATGTACATGCAATGAGAGAAGTATGATACTATATTTAGTAACAAGTCAACAACACTGTTGGTAGTAATGTTGGTGGTAAGAATAGGTAAAGGTCAGGTATCACTCACTCAGTAAATGATGATGTAGCAGGTAGAATCAACTTGGAGCTGAAACTTTAGTTTAAATACATACAATCATCTTGGGTTTCCCTTACCTTTTTCTTTCCTTCAATCTTTTTCTCTTAACAACAATAAACGACATTCAGGAGTGAAGAAGGCTCAGGTCATCCAAGATAATGTAAAGAAGCACACTTCAAAGCCAAACATTAGAAAACTTCAAAACTGTCCTTATTTGGATATGACAATCCAATGGTAGGGACGGCGGTCACGATAGGTACTAAATATCTACAGAGTTGAGGATGAAGAGTAAAATAAAGGGGAAGTCACTCACTCTAACTAAAATATAATAATAATATCTATTGTCTACTCAATGCCACTATATCAATAGAGTACGCTACCTGATTCTGTTTTCACTACAAATTATCAGGAAGAACAATTTAATTTCTTTATTTTTACGAATTCTTAGCAAGTGCTATGCATTTGCGTCGGGGAACTGAGCTTATGCCTTAAATCGCACAGATTAAGAATCTAGTACAATGCCCATCCCAAGACGAGATAGTTTTAGATATCGAATGTTGAATGTTGAATTTAAACTATGCTCTGTGTCACTAGCAAGGCAAGTCATGCTCACCTTTCTTATATCCACTATAATCAATTTTAAATAAAAATTCTATTATAAAAACTCAATGATGCTTTGCTTTATATGGAAAATAATGGATTTCTACATAAAAAAAATCTTATTCTATTTTGATATCAGAATGAAACTGACAATTTTAACTGACATCTGAAGTAGTTTAACATTCAATTCATTTCTTGAAGGTAATATTCTCTGGGTTTCAAATGAAATACTTAACAATTCTGAGAGAGGCCAGAGTAAATAAGCTATATAGTATATTAATAAATCCTTCCATATTTATGTATCAATAATGAAGATATTTTATAATAATAAGACTAATGATGGTCTATAAATATATCTTATTGTATACTTATAATCCAGCCATTTGAAGTATCTAATCTTATTAGTGTAAACTTGTCTTACTTAATGTAACAAATATGAATGTTTTTGCCAAGAAACTCTCTTTCTATCCCTGATCAGTTTTTTTAATTTTAATTCAAGATCCAAATGATTTAATTTAATCATAACGGAATCTGTAATAAGTTGTTTATGTCAAAGAAGTAAGACTAAAGTGGATCCACCTTGACTGAAGCTTTTGGTGGTACAGTAGAACACCTATAACTTTACCTTGAATCTTTGGAATTTTAGAAATTTACCCATTTAAGCTTATTAAAAAAGAATTTTTACCCCTAAAATCATATCTTTATATCAATAATATTGCAATAGTCCAAAATGGATCCAATATGCCTCAACTGTAAACTGTAGATGGTACAGTTCTACCTTAAGTGCTTTATATAGTTAAATTTGTTAATAGTAAGTATAAGAAATATCTTTTGAAAGAAGAAAAGCAGATTAAAATCCAAGAGTGGTGTATAAAAAAGAATTTGCAAATAAAGAAACTGTCCTCACCTTGCTCTAGCAAATGCTTGTGGTTCATTGGTTGATTTTCTTACAGCAACTCTATGTGTGTTGGAACTGGGTGCTGGTAGGACTGAATCACTGTAAAGAGAAATGTTCAAGATTATTATAATGAATAATAATATGTAGGTGTAAAGCATTATTGCTGAAATCTATCCAAACTTAAATAAAATATTCATAATAATTAACAATCTTACCTTACTGAATATACAATGAAATACCGGTACATGAAAATATGAAAATGCATGAAAATATGTAGGTATTGCAATGACAGTATTGATAGTGCAACAAAAACAATATGATATGAACCTTTAGATATTTACCAGGGTTCGATTTAGATTGAAAAACTGTAGTTTTAGCTTGCTAATCAATTTAAAGTTTGATTCATACTTCATTAACAGTTTTAACTAATCATCAGGAAAAATTGAACCCTGATATTATCTTTAATTTCTTTAATTTAGTTTTCTAAAATGATAGATGACTTACATTATTATATAAAGGTTAGAAATCTATTATAGAAATCTAAGTTAAAAGGTAAGTTAAGAGATGATTTTCTGTTAGTGGTTAGTATAAGATAGGTAGATGTTAATAAATTAGATACTGGTACTAAGATAAGGGTCAGTTTCTCTTAAATAAAATTTCTTTGATTTAAACAATGTGGATCAGGTCACAAAATCAATCCAAGAAAGTCATTTGATATATTAACTGTGTGTGTGTAAACAGGCATAAAATATAGGATATATATTAGAAAATTCCCAAGTCCATGATATAAGTCATAATATATATATCTAAGCATAGCCATATAGAAAGATAACGATAGCATAGCTTCATTTACAATTTTTTCTTATTACAACTGAAGTATAACTAATGATAAAAAATAAATGAATGCAAAAGGTATCTTCAAAAGTCCAGTTAATTAGTGAGCTGTGGAACATCCACTATGGCAAAAGGGTAGATTGTGAAATAGATTGACATTTAATATGTGCTTATATATAGTATTAAGAATTATCCTATGTGCTGTCAAGGGATTAATTTTCAGAATAAGAAATCATATTTAAAATATTACACAATATACTTCCAGCAAATTACCCTAGATATAGAACAGCAATCATGATCAGCTTGCCTCAAAATAAAAATAGTACCAAAACAAGCAAAGCACCAAGATCGAGGCTGAATAAGTGATGTGTAGGATTATAGTCGAGGGCAAAATCATGCATTTTCAGTCCATGCTTACGTATCACTATCACCACAAGTTTCACTGGCACTAAAATAATGGGTGACTTCACTTCTACCACCAGTACTATATAATATAATGTTAAATTAAAATAACCATGCAATTATTTGACTACATGATAGTTTCAGGTTCTTATTATGAATCATGTATGACCTTTGTGCTATGGAGTTCCATGAAATCAAAATATTTCTAACCTTGTACATCTGTTAGAGAAGTTTTCTTTTAAGCTTTGTAAATATTAATATTAAAATGGCAATGAACCATAGCACAAAGAACAGAAATATATAAGGCAAAACAAAAATACATCAGAAAATTTAAAATCTGAAATGTTCAAATTTGAATCACGCTACTAAATGAAAACTTCTAATCTAATTTGGTGAAGACAATCATATCTGAGAAGCATCAATAATATGGACATAAAAATACACTGAAGCAGACAGACATGACACAAAACAAAGTAAGAAAGAAAAGAAAGAAATAACTATAGTTTACAAGAATAACAACTTAGGTTCACAGTTAAGGATCCTTACTACCAGCTGGTCAGGCCAAACCTCTTGGCATTGATCTTTACCGGATTATCCGTACTCATTTACAGCTGGGTCGACTGGAATTATGAGTGAAGATGACTTATTCAAGGTCATCGGAATATCACATGTTGATCGAGATCGGAACCCACAGCCGCCATTTGTTTGATGTTACCAAGCAAATGACATCATGTACAGACCAACGCTGTAACCGACTGTGCTATAGAACCTCACAAAGCAGACAAGCTGATTACTTCTTTGTTTTCTATATATATATATATATCAATATATCTCTATAAAAGCTAACTATTTTGTGCTTTACATAACTATAAGTTAAAAATTTGTCGCTAATTGATTCATTTCCAATAGGAAAAGTGGGACATACATGAGGGTAAAGTTTATATCATTCACAGAAGAAAAAATAGGAATGGGGATTCTGAAATGAACTAATTTAATGCTATCTATATCTAAAGCATAAAGCAAACATTGGACTAAAAGCAAACATTGGACTAAAAGCAAGCATTTTACGTGCATGGATTCAGCACGTACCTGTCTAGGTCAGAATCTGAAATTTCAGGATTGATTCCAGATTTACTAACTGGTTCCAGTTCCATATCTCCAAGAGAATCAGACTTAATCATTCTTAACCTTTAAATATATATCACATTTGTTACAATGGCTTTATTGTGAAAGAAGGAAGTAAAAGTAGAAAGTATTTATCAATGGAAGAACATTAACATTTGCTGTTAGTAATGAACATAGTTAGGCTTACTCAGCAATATAAGATTTGAGTCAAACACTGTGAAACTTTAACATAAAAGAAGAAATCTTATTCCAGAAAAATTGAAATTGAATTTAAAACAGACCAGCTCTGTTGATTCCTCAAATGACTATCTTAAACTGGAAATAACTCTGAATCAAAGGAATTTGATGAGTTTTAAAGTTGTAAAACCTAAGAGAAATTCAATCTTTAAAGCCAGTATTTAAGCCAGTACAATAAAATATCAGATAGAATATAATTGTTTATAGGTAATGTAAAAGAAAGTCACTAGACAGAACAGACATGCAATAAATAGAAAGAAGCTGATAAATAAAAGGTTGTGAATTTGGCTGAGGAAATTGACAGATGTGGATTATATTTGAAGGATTTTGACTAGTTATATGTTTATCATCTTCACAATGGCAAGCTATTACCAACTACGTCTCAAACCATGATTGCAATAACTACTTTTCTTGCATCTTAAGTTTGTAAATGCAGTGATTTGAATGGAATGTATGCTAGCAAATACAGTCAATCATATCCCTGTTTACAAGCGCAGCAAAATTGTTTTGCAATTCAATCAAATCACCGCAAACCTTCTGTGATACAAGAAAGGTGGCTATGGCAGTGATGGTATTAGATGCTGTTGGTAATAGCTTGATTTTGAGTTATATTTGATAAATGTTGTTTAATTAGTTGAACATGCACAAGTTATAATGGAACTAGTTATAAATAAATTATAACACAATCATTTTTTTGTTCTTACTTCAACTAGTACTATCATATACAATAACTGTGTGGTTTGCAATTGCATCACACACAACTGTTCTATTATTACACTAAGATCAGGGTAGTGTGTTTTCCATATTTCATGCTTCATTAAGTCTTCATTATAACAATGAGAATATTCATCAATTCAATAATTGTGTTGTTCCATTTACAATTTGTCTTATGTAATTCTCCATTGTTGTGTTGTGCTTACTGCTGTACAGTGACCTACACACAATTCTCAACTAGAATACTGAACTATGAAGTAATGTGAAATACAATACTATTTGGTAGGTTTTGTCCATTATGGGTACAATAGTGCTGATATATTAGTTATCCATAGGATTTAGGTTTTACAATATTACTAATGTATTAGATTATGAGATTTCAATCCAAGTACCTCATTCTCAAAAACAATCCAGGTTTTAAGAATTTCATTCGACTGATTGGTTAATAACAGAGTAATCAACCAATTGACTAATGAAAAAGTAACACTAAAACCAGTAAAACTTTAGTTTTTCAGAATAAAACCTTCTACCAGAATATATACAAACATTGTATTAAAACATTTTTTGTAAAAAGGCAAGATTTTAAAAAACTAGTTTCAACTTTAAAAAATATAGCAAATTACATTTAAACAGCATAATTATTGCTTGTTAATTACAGTGCTTCATTATTATAATAACAGATACTGGGTAAGTCAACGAATCATTTTGTATCTTGCTGAAACATTGTCAAATTCTGGTAGAAGACAATTTATTATATATAAATGTTATATTAAAGGGACAGTCTAAAATTATTTAGAAAAGAAGTGAGCAATGATTTTTTATCTAAATTGAAACTATTGAGTAAAACAAGATTTATCTGATCAAAAATGTAGGTTTATGACTTCAATCCAAAAATAATTAAACTGTGACAATTGTTTTGAAGGATAAATTTGTCTGTGTACAGTAGCTCCAAAATTGAACTTTAAAAATTGAAACAGTTTAAACTTTCATTTCAAATTCAAATGGATAACATTACATAGAATGTCTCACTGGCACTGTCCCTTTAAAGTTATTCTAGTTATAATACAACATATAAGGTAAACATATGAGTAAGATAGTAATTTAAAGTGGTGAATATTTATTATGTATTATAACAGTCTGTATTCAAACTATAATCTAACAGACAACCATTCCTTACAGAGAAAATCCCTAGCTGTATACTAATAACATAATAATATTGGTGAGTTACTACCATACACATTATTATGTCCAAAGTTGAAAAACAATGGTGCTGAATATGATCGTCCAAGAATTTGCCAACCTTCCCATAGCACAAATTATTATTTCCAAAACAATCAGAAAGTCTTTGTACACTAGCAGCATCTACTGTACATATAAGACAAAATTTACATTGATATAATTTTTACTTTCCCCATAGTCCAATATTAGGTTTGAATACAGAGAGTAGGTAAGGATCTGGTATTAAGTGTTAGGACATGTAGAGTTGTGACCTGTAATGTTACCTCTGTAATGAATCTGTATCAGTTACGGAATTTAAAGTATTGACAGAGTCTGTATGACCACCATTTAATTTTTCTGCTAGTCTTTTCCTTAAATAGTTGAAAGTAGATAATATTACTGTGTTTTCTAGCACTCTTCAATCATGTCAGTCCACAACCTGGGGACATCTATATGGACTATATATTGGTCAATCTTGGATTAGACTGACCGAACAGGAAATGAAACCATTCACAGTTCCTGATTGATTGTATTTTGTCATGTTATTTCAGTGACTATCACCAAGTATATCTGGAGTCTTTCTTGAATTCTAAATTTTAGTCACCAATATCAACTTACACTGGCAGCAAACAAACAAGGAATTTTATTTTCTTGCAAAGGAATATTCGATTTGTCACATCTAGATGTCAGAGAGACCGGAATTCATTTATCAATATATTATGAACAGTGATCAATGGGTTACAATTTGAACCTTTGGCCATCCTTCCTTTGTTCGATCAATATCTATGTTTTCCACAGAAATCACTTGTATAAGAACAAAGAACTATTATTCATTTCATAAATACAGTAACCATGATAGTTTAAAGATTGGAGGCAACCATTTGCCAGTGAATTACTAAAAAGTAAATATTTCACAACCTAACATTACAATATTAAAGGAGTTAATAAAAAGACATGCATATTATATATTGACATTCATAGGTTCCTAGTGATACTTCATTCCATTCCTTCATAGTACTTCCCTGACTAGAAGAAAATGACTTTTTGGTGATGGTCTAACTGCTATTGGAACGTTTACTCTCAGTAAATTCTGTATATAACATTGGTTTGACTCAATGTCTGGTATGATAAAGTGCTGCCACATCATTCACCACATAATATGAAAACTGTATTGTGGCATTCCATATCCTTGATTTTGTCATGAATATATAATGCTAGTCCAAGACCGTAATGTTTCATGTTCTAAAGATACATTAAGGTATCCCAAGGTAAGTTTATAAGTGGTATAAAATTATGGAATGAAGTGTAACTTGGTATCCAGGCTTGATATAGTTAGTAATGAGTGTATTATAGTGATTATATATCTCATACAAAATTCAAATACGAATCACTTCAGTCTCTATAGGAGCACCAAAGCCAGGTGTTTGAATGGAACAAAGACTATGTAGAATTACGAAACGTGAAATAACAAATAAGATTTCAGACAAAACATCATTACTACAATTTTTCTATTTTTTTATAATTTATTAAGTGATTAGACAAGACAGGTGTGCAAAAAATGTGCAAAGATTGAATTTCAGAAAGAAATAAAAGATCCTAAGCTTACATCTGTGTGTTCATTTTACTAGTTTCATAAATACTGTAAAAGAAAATTTGATAAAAAAAAACTGTTCTAGGCAAAAAAGCATTTCATGTCTACAAAAATATAATATCCTACTTCCAGCTAAATCACAATTCATACTCTGTTATAATAGAATGAATGTTGTAATGCCAATTCTCACCCATTTTCTCTTAAAATTTTTTATAGCAACTGAATTACTAATCAAAATCGTGAAAAGTGGCACTGACTGAGTAGTAAATACTGACTCTGTGGCACCATTTCACTTATCAGTTCAACTGAAACTGGTAAAGAAGCACTGGCTGTATTGTGGTACCAGTATATAATTGGAATAAACCTGCCTGTAATACCAGTACCACTATATCTTAGAGACTAGCATTGATTAGAATGTGGTACCAATACCACTGTTCAAATCAAAGGCAGTGCAAATCTTTAAACCACACACCCCATTTCTATAAGAGTTAAACAGTACAGTGAAAATATTACATTCAGCAATTTGTTCAGAGATTATTGAGTATGAAAAGTGATTTAGCATAAAACATATCTACATGGGATCCTACATCCTAAATCTACCTTCAGTTCACTCACTTACCTTTCACGATCTATATTTAATTCAGCAATACTGAAATTGGAACAATTTTTATCTAAAACCTTTTCAACTTTGATGTTTTTAGCATGCAATTAGAACATGTAGTTGAATGGACGATTTGTAATTGAAAAATATCAAAAAAATTTAGACCTATTTGAAAGAATATTGTAAATGGATAATATTTGTCCAAAAGAGGAAATTCACCAAGGTCAGTTTAAATAAAATTTGATTTCAAATCATTGAACACTTTAGAAGAAGTCCATTCCATGGTTGGTTCCTTATTTTTATACCAGGTCTATGATTTTAGCTTTTGTGGGATTGAAACACAGGGTAGGAATAGTGGACCAAGATTCTGGGAAAAATCTTTTTTAGTATTTTAAACTGAATTCCACCATTTTCAGATTTATTAAAAACTGTTAAAATATGGTATAGAAATAAGCTTGATATTACTTCTAGGTAAATGTATTATTAGTACCATGCCAATATATGATAAATGGTATGTATAGGAGATATATTATCATAGCACTGGTTCCAGAATGGGAAGTTAAAAAACAAACTTCAAAATTTGAGATACCTCCTAAGATTGTCTGGAGAACTAGTAAATAAATATATTATAATTAGTATAGACAGATACAACTTCATTATTTCTCTGTAATGAGTTCGCACCGAAAACTAAATTTTAGTTGTAATAGACAATAATGATTTTCATTAGGCAACATACAAAGTAGTAATCAAATGCACCAGACATAAAAAGACCCCCATTGTGCCAGAAAAATTACCTCATTCTGTGTGCTTTCTCAGCTTCTAAAACTTGAAGTTCTTTTGGAACATGTCCTGTTATTCCTCTGCGTTGATTTAGTTCAATGACTCTCACACCCTAGAAAATAAGGCATTATTACTTAACAGAATGGAAACAATATAAAGGGATCACATTTGATAAGCTGCTTTTGATAAGAAGTTAAAAAATCAATTAAAGTATTTGAGATCCAAAAAGTGATAAATACTGATCAAGTGGATAAGATCACTTGAAGTTCAGATAACAGAAAAACGAACTTTGTTTTATTTAATTCACAATAAAATCATCACTCACTTGTTCTTCTTCATCGTCAATATCTTGGACTTTCTTCTTACGAAACCACCCATTATCCTGACAATATGCCATTAACACAAACAATGGAAAGTAAGCCAGAGTTACCCAAGCTTCCCATGGTTCGATAATCCCAGGTGAAATATAACTAACGACTAATAACATCCAAATATAGGCCCATATTGACCAGATAGATGTCATGATAAACACACCAACTTCACGGATCTTTTTGATACCAGGAGAATCAACACTGACAACACAGATAGCAGTAATAATTAACAAATTAAACGCAGCACTACCAATAATAGTGAAGGTACCCAGAGCATCTTTACTATCTCCAGACACGCCACTTATTATATCTAAAATAAGTTCTATAGTAGCCAGCAGAATTTCAGGGGCACTACTACCTAATGCCATTAAAGTTAAATTAGCCACGGTTTCATTCCATATCAGAATTTCACGTTCCACTTTTTCGCCTCTCTCATGATCGAAATATGTAACAATACGTTTTTTACTGGTGATTACTTCAATACTGCACATAAATACATCTGATGCTATGGCTATACCCATGAATAAATAAATCAAAGCAATGATGTAGAGAAACGTTCTTAAAGGCATTGACCAGAGATTTTCAGCAGGAAGGAGAAGCCAACTTTCACATGCTTTTTCTCCAGGATCTAAGAATTCCACCACATAACCATCACTATAATTAACTCTATGAAAATCCATCTTGACTCTTGGACTGTTTCCTGTATCAACTAAACTTCATCAGAATTCTGTAACATATAAACAAAAATTTGAATTAAAAATTTGTGTCAAGTTGTTTAAAAAGCTAAAAAATTCTTGGCTAGCAACTATAATAAAATATAAATTATCCATAAACAAATAAGAACAAACTAAGATAGTTTCAATTTCTTTACCACTATGCCTATGATATTAAAAACTATTTGAGATTCAGTGCCATACAAATGTCCTGTAAAGAATTTGGATATCTCTATACTTTTTGCGTAATTCTTTTAATTAGTTATCAATTCCTACAATAGGACATGTTTTCACGTATCATTAAGTATGATTGATGACATTACACATGCTTATAAAGGGAATTTCAGTGTTACAGTATTTTTATAATATTGTGATGCTAGATATAGAAGCCAACGTAAAAAAAGGTCTGAAGCCAGGGCATCACCAGGTTAGACATTCCCTTAAACCTTTCATCCAGTAGAAAATCCCTTATATGGATAATTTATCATTGGATATTCAATAATTTAGATAATTCCTCTTCAGACCAAAAACTGAACTAAAACTTAATAGATCTATTGTTTTTCAGCAAAACCACAAGACAGAGAGGCATGAATAATTTCAATTTTGAAACTAAGGTTAACAAGAAGTAGGTTTTGTATTAGATTATATCACTCAACCTTCAGAAATCAATTTCAGGCAATAATGTTATCAATTGAAAAAACAGTCAATGTAATTATTTCTAATAGCAATGATGGATTGTTACTGGATCTGTGGGTAACATAAAAGTCATAGCCTAGATTATAAATTTACTAAGGGTCATAGAGTCATTTTCCTAGGCAAACTCATTTTTTATGTCTAACATAAAAAGACGCTTATTAAGATTATTATATTATGTTTATTCTAAAATTCTCAGTTATTTATTACTAAAAAAGACAAGTTATGGAATTCTTTCCCAATAAAACAACATGCAACAAGTGAGAAATGTAATTACAAACAGCTAGATTTAAATTCTATTTACAAAAAGGGTCGATATTGACGTCGATCTAGGCTAGTAGATCTACTTAGTTGATAAAGGGGGTTAGTCAATGAATGACATTTGCCACGGACTTTGTTGAGTGGGCACTTGGGCGTTTGATAGGAACCGCGAACGGATGGAAAAAAATGTAAACAACACACTTAATACGTCCAAAAATCTTAATTTTTACCCTTAAAACCGGAGGTACGATTGTTCGTTTTAAAAAAAACTGCAAAAAACGAACAAGAGATGATTTGACGAATTTTAACCACTAATCGGTGGTAATCTTTACAGTCAATTAGCTACTTCAATAAATTCATCTCAAGTCGGTACTTCCCGCCATACTTAGTTACGACGTCAACAGCCTCGATTGCGCTACAATGACGTCATTGCTTATATTTGTAAAATCGAAATTTGGATATTTGAACTCTTAAATCAGGATTTCACCAATTACGGATTACTTATCATTTCATAGATGAATTATACTAACCAGTAATGGCAAATAATATCTCTTCCACAGAGACGACGATGCTTATTATAAAATAAAAAAGCGCTACAAGTTTAGACCGCATAAAAAAGGAGTACGGATATTTAACCTTCTAAAGCTAACAGGACCGTGACAAAAGCATATCTTAGGTTCTGTTTTCATATCCGAATCGCTCTACAATATTGATGTAGGCCTTAGAGCACTATTTTATTTATTGAAATAGATGCCAGGCTAAACTATTGCCATATTCTATGAAATATGCAATATGGTCTTTCTTTGTAGGATATTATTTCATGAAATAAAAAAAGGAGGGGGGGGGGGGCGATGGAATTTCATTAAGACATCATAAAATCGATTCAGACTAGGGCTGCAAGTTTAAGTAAAGGCCTAATCATGGCAATAAAACAAATCCTAAGACCTAAATATTGAAACCTATGAACTTACCTATCTGTTTAAATTGCGGCCGAAAATTTTTGACCGTAACGTATAAATAGAAGCCTACCTGTACAGAGTATGATTCCAGAGAATATTTGCTATAGTTTTATCCTCAAAATTGTTTGTGGTCACTTGAGTTATATTTGATATATTCCATTAAGTGATTAATAAACGATATATAAATAAAACGTCTCTATACCTGAAGAACGAGTCAAGATTTGACAGATCCACTTAGAAAATTGTAAAGAGTAGACTTGAAATATATTATTCAATGAACCTGGAGCTCGCGATCCGTATTGGTATTAAGAAAGTCGAATAATGAGTAAAACATATGAATTATCCATGTCTCTTATCCATTATCCATATGATACTGACTTGATGTCCATTCAAAATACCACTTTCACACGGATAAACTACTTTGTTTAGCATATGCACACAAAAATAACTCGTCATAAAGTACAGCATAGGCTTGCAGTCTGAATTTAGACCACACAGCCGTAGTTCTATACGAAGTTGGCAACAATAGAAATTCCCACTCAAAAATTGTAAAGAACAGAATAGAAAACATATACAGTACAATAATAATACATAATTCAATGGCTCATAGTTACCCAAGCTATCGACACTGGCCCTATGTCTAATGACATGTTATGAGCTTAACAACCAAAGAAAGAGATTAAGATTATGAGACGCTATAATCTTCTTTATTTCTTCTTATGAAACATATTTTCAAATCGTTTTTTTAATTGGTAAGATTAGACGCACATTATGTAACACGATTATAGTTTTCAGTTAATAACATCCCGTATAGTATCACGATATGATCCACAAAATGCAAATTCTTGGATATCACGAACCAATGAGATTATTAACACTAACGCCGAGTTACAACCTGTAAGTAGACTATTAAAAAAGGGCTAGGATCACTCTATCTGATATGTTGTCCATAACTTACTATATGTCAGATCCCGTTTTCACCACCGTACAGTGAAGTCTGCAATCAAGTTATAATTGTTGTCAGGGCTGACCACAGTTATCACCAATAAGACTAGAAACATTCGCCAGGACATTTGAATAACTCAAAAAAAAAATCTCTATACAAACCAACACAAAAACAATTATCCTTTTCACTATCAATAAAATGTTCTATGCATTTGTATGAGAAATGTTGAATAGACCCTGTTGCTACTCAAGAGTAAATAAAACTATTGCGTTCTTGCATGGAAATGTCGACACTAGAACAAGAATCGCTTATCGAACTTCAATCAGAGAAGATCAGTTGCATGAAAGTCTTGAATCCATGAGTATAAAGGAACTTCGGATTCTGTTTTCAAATTCCAGTATGGTCAATAGATAATTCAAAATTTCATTTGCTCACTATTTCGATGCAAATCAACTTGGTCCACTTTAATTTTTCATTACAAATGTTCAGATTTCCACATGTTCATTATCAAAATTACATTCTTATTACCCCCGTTGTTCATTTTTTTCCCTGCAAAATTCAGAATTCCCCATTGTTCATATTTTCATACAATAATCAGACTTCCAATTTTTGGATATACCCATACAATATTCAAATTTCCCAATATTGTTGGATTTACTCGTACAATATTCAGATTTCCTAATAATGTTAGATAAACTCGTGCAATATTAATATTAGCCACTATTGTTAAAAATACGAATACAATATTAAGATTTTCAATTGTTTGATAATATACTCTTATACAATATTCATATTTCCCAATATTGTTTGACATATTCATACAATATTAAGATTTTCGAATGTGTTTATTATGACTCTGAAATATGATATAGGTAGATAATAAATTTCTCAGTGTCTTTCCAATATCGACATATTCCATAATTTAGTTCTAGGTTTATCACCGAGTTGCCATAGATTAGCTCATTAAATTGTATCAAAGAATCAAAAAATAATCATAAACACTATTTAGACTTTGAACTTCTTTCTGCTAATTTACCAAAATCCCACGCCCCATCAAACTTATACACATATACAGATTAAAATACTTTGTACGTACATGTGTGTTTATTTACACGTGAAATCTTGAAAGGTAAGAGTAGTAAATTGATGTTAAAGATGTCAGGTAATTGGTGAGAGGATCAAAGAGAGAGGTGTCTATTTCTCTATCTAGTTGTTTATATATTAGATATAGATACAGGTATTTAATGAACCCTCGTACCGAGTTCATACAAAATACCCCCAACTTCTATTTCCGACAGAAAGATGGAATGGAATCAAATCAATATGTAGGATTGTCCCAAATTGTGATTTTATTTTAAGAAATTACATCTTGAAGGAGAACTTTTAAAAGTTTTTGATACAATTCAGTGGTTACAGCCCCAAGTTATGACAACAACAAAAATTGTATTCTGTTCATTCATATATTATACGAATGTCAAGAACTCAAACTAGATGATTGTGCATTAATTCATTCTGTGCTCGGTAGTCAATTAATTCATTCTTATCTGTACCTTTATTCTTTCAATAACAATATCATTAATTATTTTATTCATCCCTCCATTCATTGCAGGGAACGTTGATGACCTCGGAATGGCTGGATTGACAGCTGACCTTGATCCTGTCCATCCCAGAACCAATTAATACGGGTGATCTTTGGCCATCATCTAATTAATCTTGGGGAGTAAATATGTATTCTAGACTTTGTGTTATTGACTATCGGTAGCTATAATTCAGTTGATATAGCTCTAATAAAATATGTCGTATCTACCAAATCAATTTATATGATTAATTGGAAATGAAAAAACACGGTATATTGTATAGGTTATTGTCATAAAAACAACATTTGACCTTCGATCAACATCACGATTTTTGAATAATTTTATGTACTGGAATTTAATCCAAAGGCCAAATTCCAACGACCAGCAACGTATTGAGTTTCGAGACATCGTCGAATGTTTCGCTCTTTACAAACTCAACTCAATTAGAAATTCTCGACCTTCAAATCGGATTTTCAGAACTCCAAATGAAGATCCTCTGCTGCTTTCGTACCAGGGCTTTGTCCCATTAAA